GACTGATTTTCAGCAGGAGAATATACTGGATTCACTGTAATTGCACCACCATTGAGCAGCTGCTTCCAGACTCGCCCACGTCTGAGATCTTCCAATCTCCACAGCCAGTGTCACCCAATCGGTAGCGGTGCGGGGTGCCGGTGCCGGTGTTCGGTTGAGCGTAGTTCTCTTTGGGCCAAAACTCGTATCGGCCTCCTTGTTCGGGTTGCCAGCTATTCTCGCTGTCATCGAGCCACATTTTCCAACCTCGCGTCGATTTCCCGTCGCAGCCAGGAACTCGGACAAAAACTCGATCGCTGTGCTTTCATGCACTTTCGTTGGAAGTTCGACAATCACGATACGCCCATCGTTGAGGGCGAGAAATCGAAGTGGAATCCGCAGCCCTTCGCCGTCTCCAACATACTCATTGAAAGCAGCAATAGAGACTCCCTCACAAACGACGTACGGATCAAGTTCGTCGTCATCTTGATCGAAGTAAGTCGCAATCACTTCAAGCTTCAGCGCATCCATGACGCCGCGGATTTCATCGGCGGTTTTTGAAGTCGTCATACTTGCTGCAACTGTTGATGTTGGCCGGACCACGTCGTATATTGCGCTGGAAGAACAATACGAATCCCCGTCGCAGTATGCGCTCATTTTTCTCTTCTCTTTCTTGAAAATTGAGCAAAGGTTTCGCTCGAAATGGGTCTGAGGGGAAGGAAAAAGACCACCCTTGTTCTCAGGTTGACGTATGCATACCGAAACGAAGCTTCTTGGTTTGTTCCTACCAAGAGTGTGGGGTCGAGGACGGAATCTGAGAAAAGAAGATTATCAGCTGAAAGCTTCCCCGCGCAGAATTAAGTCTGCGAACTAAATAAACAGCAGTTCAGACAGTCCTGATGCCAGTACAGTACTGCACCCCGTTTTCGCGCCATTGGACCTTTCGGATGTTATGATACCGAATCCAAATGAGCAAAAGTCTGTTAGCTAAAATCTGATTTATTGGCAAATCCTATATGGTCCACCACGCGAAAACGGGGTGCAGTACTGTACCACCAAGCTTCCGGTATCACAAACTGAAGCCAGAGTGTAAGAAATCAATTTTGACGGGGTGCTCTACTCTCTACTTTCTTTCTTACGAATATTATATAAATCTTGGTAAGCAATATTTCGAAAGTCCTAATATCCCATCATATGTTATCCTCGAGCTTCAAAAGAGTCGAAAATGGATCGATTACTGCGTCGTGGCCCAGGGCCAGCGAGTACAGCGACGGCGATGGACGTGCATTAAAACTCCCTCAGAACGTGGAGGACACGCTAGCCAAAGTATCTTCCTCGTGTTGCAGTCCTGTATCAAGTTGACTGCCAGGTCTCACCAACGTCTCATGTACAGGTTTTGCCCTCGGAGGACCTGCTGGACCGACCTGAGTTCGATGCGCGCGAGTTCATCAACCGAAACTTTCCGGACGAGCAGAGTCTGGGGGACATTGGTGACTTTGTGAGCCGTCTCCGCGGGCGTATGAAGGAGCTCGACGACTCGCTGTCTCAGGCGTCACAAGACCAGAGTTTAGCGGCGCATCAGGCGCTTCTGGATCTGAAGGAAGCGAAAACGGCGAGTCAGCAGCTTTTCCACAAGATCCACGATATCCGAGGGAAGGCAGAGCAGTCCGAGGTCATGGTGCAGGAGATCTGTCGCGACATCAAGCAGCTCGACTATGCTAAGCGTCATCTGCAGACCACGCTCACGGCGCTAAAGCGGTTGCACATGCTGGTTAATGCCGTTGATCAGCTAGAGTTTATGTCCTCGCAACGTAATTATCGCGAGGCCGCATCTTCGCTTAAAGCTGTCAACTAACTCTTCACCTGTGCGCACATTGCAGGAAGAACTTGGCGGACAGATCTTTGCCGACTTTCGGTCTATTGGCCCAATGGAGTCGTTGGAGGACAATTTTCCATCCGAAGAAGAACGACAAGCTGTCTTTGCCAACCTCTCGGCTGCGTGTGCAGTTGTCGATGCCTTGGGCAAAGCAACCAGAGAGAAACTGATCCATTTATTTTGTGACGAACAGTTGATGTCCTACGAGAGACTTTACGGGGACGGGGGAGAGTGCGCTGGGTTGCACCAGGCTGAAACGAGATACACGTGGTTCTACAATCTCCTTGCTGCCATCGACGATCGCTTGAACGCTATTTTTCCAAAGCATTGGCGAATGGCTCGACGGATGTGCATTCAGTTCTGTGAACGAACGCGGACCCATTTACTTGCACAAATAGGAGCGCACACTCCGGACGAGATGGACGTGACTTTGCTGCTGAAGTCTCTACAACGAACGCTCATGTTTGAACGTGACGCAGCACAGCGCTTCGAAGGGATGGCCGATGGAGAAGAGCTTCAGGAAGTGGAACTGGACGAGAACGGCGATGCCATTGACCCACATTCCGCTGAAGGAATCAAGAGAAAACATCGTCGTAAGAAGCGTGAGGCGGAGCGTAAGGCGCTAGAAGAAGAGATGGAGAAGAACGGCGAGCTCACGGACGACAATAACCAGGGCTTGCCGACTATTCGGGGAATGATATCTCGTTCATTCGACCCGTTCATGACGGCGTATGTAGCACTGGAGCGTAAGAACATGGAGCAGATGATCAACGAGGTGATGAGTGCCGAGTTGGTGGATCGGAACGGCCAGCTGCCAGTGTTCTCGAGCTCCGTGAACATGTTTGCCTACATTCGCAATTCAATTAAACGATGTACGGCCCTGA